AGAATGCATTTATTTTCATTATATTTCAAAATTTAAAGTCCTTTGATTTTTTTCTTGGAAACTGGAAGGAACTAAAACTTTAAAATATATGCATATTTTAGATAGTATTGCCTCATTTATTTTGTTAAAATTTTATTTTTTTAAAAAATTAGTTTTTGAGATGCTTGTCCGAAAATTATAAGGGGCGCTGTAATCACCTTAATAAGAGTGGTGAGCAATGAAGCTGTCACGTGGGAAGCAAATGGTTGCAGCAGTTTAAGTCATTAAATATTCAGCGTAGACGGCGACGAAGTGTATTTGTCGTAGATGTACCAAGATTGTACTGCGTCCAACCGAAAATAGACCGAAAAAAACTGAACGGCCTGTTAAAACTTTGCCAGGGAGGTAGCATTTCATTCAATTATCATGACTTCTGTCACAAAAAGTTGGAACCTGAAGACGGTCCTGTTGAAAAAAACAGCAGTTTAGAAACTGATGGAGGCAGTCAGAGTGATGAAAATTATTAAACTGTTCATTGTTTTTGTAATTTTTCAGATTTTTTTTTGTGACAGAAATGTTGTTTTTGATTTTTATTTTTTTTTTATTGTTGTTAGCTCGAATAAAAATTCGAAGGTAAACTTTTTTCTGTGCAGAATTACTGTTTAATGGTTGAAAAATCAGCAAAAATCAGTCAAAATCCAGAAATAAATAGATTCCGTTTTAATATATGCTTTAAAAAGAAACTATACAGAAATATTAGTGTGTAAAGTTGTACAAAAATATAAATAACATTTTTTTTTTCTATGAATTGATAAAACATATTTTTAAGAGTTAGACAAAAAGTGGATTTTTTACTCCAAACAAAGCTGCGAAGTTACTATGGAATAAAGTGACATAGGCGACTAATTTAGAGCCAATCCACAAAATAATACTGTGTTTTCAGAGTTGTCTACAGTTAGGAGGCTTGGCTCTTTTGAAAACCGTACATTCAATGCAAAGTATATTTAATTTTTTTTGTGGTCAAAAGGTATAACAAACATATTTTCAAAAGTAGTACATTTTTTATCACTTTCACAGGACTTTGATAAGACTGGGAAGATGGCTGTCTGTGGGCATCTCTCAGCGACAACCAGCAGTTTTTTGACAAATTGAGAAACAGGTCCAATGTCTCTGGAGGATACGCAATGGGCTTAACGAGACCTAAGTGCTGTGGAGCAATCCACCCTCCCCCACCTTATAGATACAGATATACCTTGTCTAATTCATTGTAAAATAGAGGGTCTGCATTTAGATTTCCGTTTCTGTACAGTTGGTTTTTAGACAAATGAAATATGCATGTAACCAAAAATATTAAAATAAAAAAAATTATTTAAGCAAATCTACATCTTAATTGAGTACGAAGGTGTCAATGTATTGAAAGGGAGAGGTTAATAATAATTTAACTTTATCCATTACAGATAAGCTACGTAATTTTAACATACAAAGAGTTAAAAAGTCACTGTGAATATATACAGGGTGTTCGATAAGTACGGTACATAACTTCAGGAGGGTATTTTGGAGCTAAAATAAAGGCATTTTTGTCATGTACACTATGTCTCAAAAATGCTTCGTTACGGAAATACAGGGTGTGAAAGTTTCATAAAAAAATAAATTTTTTTAAATATTTCCAAAACCACTTAAGATATTTTTATCAAACTAATCGCTAAACAATATGGAAGGAAAAACGTGTTACGCCATTGTTCTATTTTTAATGTTCGATTTGGAAGAAAAAGCAACAAAGACAGTAAATTTTTTCATTCTTTTTTTATTTTTTATTATTTTTAATCTCTTTGAACAATGTACGACAAAAAAGTGATCTTCAATTTTTCCCAGGTAGGTACTTGTTTGACATTTTACTAGTCGCCAATTGTTTATTTATTTGTATGTCAGACATTAAAATGAATAACTTTACTAACGCTGAAATGGCTCAAATGCACTTCATTTATGGCTTAGCAAATGGGAATTCAGCAGAAGCCAGAGGAATTTATCAGAAACGTTATCCGAATAGGGTAACGCCATGTGCTAAAACATTTAGAAAGATACATGCCAGATTGTGTGAAACCGGTAGTTTTGAGCATAATCGGGTAGTTTCTGGTAGACCACGAACAGTAGAAACGCTTGATCTAGAAGAAGCTATACTACAGGAGATAGAAGAAAATCCTTTAACTAGTAATAGGAAGATTGCAACAACAGCTTCAAGTAAGTGCAAATACTGTTTGGAGAGTTTAGTAAGTTTCTCTGCTTAACCATACCACATACAACGAGTACAAGCTCTGCTGTCCCGCGACTTTCAGCCAAGGCTAAATTTTAGTAGGTAGTTACTCCATAAAGTTGCTCATATCTACAATTTGTTGACCCTAATTTTATTTACTGATGAGGCAACTATTTTGCGATAAGCAATTATTAATTTTTATAATGAACATTTTTGGGCTGAGGAGAATCCTCATGCAATAAGGGAAGGTCGCTTTCAGCAAACATTTTCACTAAATGTATGGATAGGGATTATTAATGACCATCTTATTGGACCATACTTTTTACCCCCTCGAGTGAATGGTAAGAGGAGATTTATGGTTTATGCACGATGGTGCACCAGCCCATTTTAGCCTTCTTGCTCGCCAATACCTCGACAACACTAGTAGATGGGATTAGCCAGTTCTGGACCAAGGTCAGAGGCAAGGTCAGAGGCAATTGGTGTAATTAGTAATTACCCTAAGTACCCACCCCCCACCCTTCGAGCAAGTACCCCCCACCCTTCGAGCAAGTACCCCCCCACCCTTCGCGCAATTAGCAAGTACCCCCCCACCCTTCGCGCAATTAGCAAGTACCTCTGAATTACTCTGTACACCATGTTATTGCATAGTGTAATGAGTGTAATTGCATAGTGTAATGAGTATAGTAAGTACCTCTCAGTACACATAGTGATGTAAGGACCAACCAATTATTCTGTACTGAGTGTAATTGCATAGTGTAATGAGCATAGTAAGTACCTCTCATTACACCATATGCATACCTCTCAGACAGTATTTACTGTGTATATCACGTAGTGTAATAAGTCTAAGTACTTCTCTTGTTTACTGTTGTAGCATAGGGGAAATAAGTCGGCGCCATGCACACCCTTGACTCTCAACCGCCATAGCTAAAGTAAATCACCGGTCTTCGGCAGACACGCGCGATGTAAATATTGTTGGAAGGGGTAGTATCCCACCCTTCGCGCAATTAGCAAGTGCCTCCCAATTATTCTGTAAATTATATACTTTAATGAACGTAATTGAGTAGTGTAATGAGCATAGTAAGTACATCTCATTACTCTATACACCTTGTAAGTACCGCTTAAATAGTCATTACTATTTACCTCCTAGTGATTACTATTGTATTCTATATTACATACTATGAATATTGAGAAGGAAAACATAGTGGAGGTGGGGATTTTTAGGGAGGATATATAGCGACCTCATATCCAAATGGAATCAGTTTAAAATCGTAAGCTTTAAGAGTCTTTAGAAGTTTCAAATAATAACTGAGTGTAGTATTGTGTAGTATTGTATATTATACAGGTAAAAAAAATATTTATTTGTATTCTACTATGGCTCAAACGCAAATTGATGCGGTTAATAAATTACTTGGAGACTGGCCCACAATATTGGACCAAAGAGAACTAAAGTCATTGGTTATAGGTCAACTTTATATTATTAAAACGATATTGGTCAAAGATACCAGATATGGTAAATGTTTACTTATTCATTTAATTGATCGGCACTCACAGGAGCTTTTCCAGTGTTGGTTACCGAGACGCATTTTTGAAATAATGCCACCCGAAGTCATTGCTATGATAAATGATTCTACTGGCCAATATGCCATGGCCTATTTAGGGGAAAAGCCGTGTTACAACTCAACTACTAGGTCTCATATAAGAATCGATCTAGTTGGCCAGCAATCAATTAGTTAAATCCATGGTAGAGTCACTGTAAATATTTTTTTACTTTTAAACACATATAGATATCTAATATACGCAATATTTCATTAAGAATTTCCACAATTTTATCGTAAGTATAACTTGACCAATATTTGTTCATTTAATAACGGCCAAATATTGTTTCAGATTATTTCGACATGTGGATGATGTATTCCGAAGAGCACTGGCCTAAAGCCATCGACTTAGAATCAGCAATAAGCAGGCTTGGAAAGGAACTGGACGCACTGGCGATGGATGCGTTACACTCCATCAATTACGACGCTGAGGTATGGCTGTTTCCAGAAGCTGTGGCCTATCAAAACGATTGTTATGAGAAATACTGTAAAGGCAGCAGTCTTTGCTGCGAATATAATGCATGTGAGCTGGACTTAGATACATTCTGTGAGAAGATGGTTACCCTAAGTTTGAAACGCTTCTTGAACGAGGCCTTACCATACATCACCCCGCAAATAAGGAGTAAACATGGTTTAGATGAAGATGCAGACGATGAGGCTGGTGATGAGACAGATGACGAAATGGATTAGGGATTACTTATATAATATATCTATCTATCTGTGATTAAAATATAAATAAAACAATATACATAGTTTAATTGTTTTTTATTTAAAAAAGGTTACATCTTTTTATTTTTGTTAAAAGTGAACACAGGTATAAGTTTGGATACAGTAAATTAGATTATATGAACTACAATGGCATATATTCAGTGTGTACAGTGCCATCTAGTGCATTATAACTTATAAGAGCTTCATGAATAATAAGCGCATACGCTTTAGTGTTGGCGGGAAACTGCATTTTACGTGTTTCGAATTCAACCTTGACATCCACAGTTGAAGATTTGATTGGTTTTGGATACATACTGCAATCAATTACGAATAGAGGGTTCGCTCTAAAGCCATTCAGGCCTAACATCGGCTCAGGATTTTCCTTTTTATAGTAACTTCGCTGAAAATCTTCATAAGCATAATAAGCGGGAGTATCCAACTTTTTCCCAACATCCAAATTCCAACGCTCTAATGGGTAAACTTCAGAATTTAGATATAATCTGATATTGCTTATATCAGCAGCCGTAAACGCCGTCACATCTTCTTTCCTGTTTTCAGTAAAAGAAGTATTTTGAAATCCAATAATTACATATCTAGGTCGTTCCATGGATGTAGTGGTTTTAATCGCCCATATGTCGTTAGAAGTTTGTCTTAGAGTAGGTAATTCATAAAGATCCCATTTATGGTGCGGTATTTTAATGGATTGCAAATGTTTGTCATTAATTTTTTTATACATGAGAACATCTGCATCATTTTCGGGAGTAATGTGTTTGACTATCCAATCCATTTTAGTGATAGTTATGTCTGCATCGACTTCTCCTATATAGCAATTTTCGAATGCTCGAGCAATTATTACAGTCATCTCATGCTTAACACCTATTATCCCTTTTTTGTAAGATTCAGCAAAACCA